ATATATGTGTGTGTGTGTGTGTGTGTGTGTGTGTGTGTATGGAATCATACAATATATGATAGGTCATCTTTTGTGTTTGCCTTCTTTCACTTAACATAATGTTTTCATCTATGCTGCAGCATTTTTTAAAGGCTATTTTTATTCATGTGCATGAAAGAGAGAATACGACAGCAAAAGAGAGAGAACCTCCCTCCTCCCTCAGTGGAGCCTGGTCATGTTGTCATCCTTTTCCTCCAATTTTCCATAGGCACATGTGAATGAGCCTACCATGGAGCTAATGGGTCAAACCTTGGTCGGCCATGTGGGATCTGGCTTCTACACAGCACCTAATTGCTGGACCAGCCCTGTAACTTGTTTTTTTTTTAAGTTTTTATTTAATTTTATTCATTCATTTATTTTAATTTGAACAGAGAGACACAGAGAGAGAGGGAAAGTGAGAAAGCAAGTCACCAGGTCCAGGACTTGAACCATGGTCAGCCATGTGGGAGTGTCCAGCGCCTTAGCCACTACACCTCCTGCTGGTCCCTGTAGCTTCGTTTTTATAGATACCCTTATCAAGTTGAGGAACTTCCCCTCCATTCCTAGTTTGTTGAGTAGGTTTCTTTTTTTTTTTTTAATCATGAAGGATATTGGATTTTGTGAAACTTTTTTCCTACATTCATGTGGTTTTGTTTCTTGTTGTACTGAAATGATAGAGTGCAAGAATTGCTCTTTGGATGTTAAGCCAAACTTGCATTCCTGGAATATATCTCACTTAATCAATGTGTAATTCTTTTTCTATATTTTCAGTTTCAATTTGCTAATATATTTTTTGGGGAATTTTCGCATCCATGTTCATAAAAGGGCATGCATTTATCATTATCTTTTATTATGATATCTGTCTGGTTTTGTCTCTAGGGTAAAACTGGCCTCATAGAATGTAATATAAAGTGTTTCCTCCTCTTCTGTTTTTTTGGAAGTGTTTGTAAAGAATTGGTATGCTCCTTTAACTGTTTTATAGAATTCACAGTGAAGCCATTTCAGGCCTGGGCTTTTCTTTGTAAGTGGTTTGTTTATTAGTATATATTATTAACACAAAATTTTTACCTGTTATATGTATATTTAGATTGCTTAATTCTTCTTGGACCAATTTTGATTTGTGTCTTTCTAAAAATTTTCCATTTTATCTAAATTGTCTGATTTTTAATATACAGGTACTCAGAGCTGGTGCTGTAGCACAGTGGTTAAGCCTGTGTAGATGAAGCTGTATTCCATATGGCTGACCATGGTTCAAATCCTGGCCCTCGCAGCTTACACATTGGGTGTATGAGTGTGCTCAGGAGCTTGATGGGATAGGGAATTGGAGGAAAAAAGAATGCAGTGTGACCAGGCCCTATTGAGGGATGCTTTCTCTCTTTCTTTCTCTTGTGAGCATACACACACAGTCTGACATAATAAACGAAAATAATTTTTAATACAATGATTCATAGTATTGTTAAAAGCTTATTTCTTTATATATTGCTTCCATGAGTAAGAGACAGACACAAGGAAAGAGAGAGAGAGACAAATAGCATCCCCAACCGTATATCGATGTAATCCACTCCCAGCCTTGAGCCACCTCCATGCTTGCTGTACTCTGGCAGGTCCCCACACCTGAACCAAGATATTTCCTAAGAGGGATTACCTCAGAGAGTATCTCATTTTACTAATGAGCCACTTTCTGGTCCCTGGAAATGTTTTTTTAATTGGATTGTTCAATTCATTCATATTTAATATTTCTAAAGTGTATTTTATTCATGACAGCACTTATGAGTGCATGCAAAAGAGAGACAAAGAGACATCCTCAATGGGGTCTTTCACGCCATAATTCCCTTCCCCAAGCCCTCTAGCCTGGGTGCCCAGGCATGTGCCCTGTGTGTTCAAGGTCAACCTGGATCTAACCCATGGCTTCCAGCATGGCAGTTCAGCACTACTGCCTGTGTCACTGAGGCTGAACCCATATTTAATGCTATCATTGAATTCTTGTGTGTGTGTTTTATTTTATTTTATTTAAATTTGACCAGAAAGGGACAGAGTGAGAGAGTTAGAGAGATAGAAGGTGAGAAAGCAAATGCTACCAGGTCCAGGACTTGAACCGTGGTCGGCCATGTGGGAGTCCAGTGCCCTTAACCACCACGTCACCTGCTGGCCTCCTTACGTGATTTTTTTTTTTTTTTTAGGGGGAAGATTTTTCTACAAGGGGCGGCCAGGAAGACAGAGACAGAGAGACAGAAAGCGAGAAATCACCCCCCAGGGGGGATGGCCATGCCACAATCCCTTCTCCTCCATTCTCCTCTCAGAATCTTGGGCATGCACGTACACATGCCCAGCATGAGTTTAAGCCACTGAGTCCACAACTGAAACCGTGGTCAACTACATGGGAGTCCAGTGACATAGCCATTACGCCAACTGCTGGTCCCCCTTGTGTTTTGGTGACGTGACTGACAAATTATTTTCCTCCTATTATACAACAGAAAGTATCTCTTGTATTTCTTTCATTACTAGCAGATTTGCATGAAGCCAGTAACTTTGACTAATGTCAGTAATAATCGTTTTAAAAGCTCACTAATATTAACAAAGATGGTGAAGGAAATACCAAAAGTGTCGAAGTTAAGAAACATGGGCAAGAAAGTGGCGTAAGGGGGAACCAGCAGTTAGCGTAATGGCTATGTCGCTGGACTCCCACGTAGTCGACCACGGTTTGAGTACCAGACCCAGTGGCTTAAAACTCACGCTGAGCGCGTGTGCGTACGTGCCTGAGATCCCGAGAGGAGAATGAAGGAGAAGGGATTGCGGCGTGACCATTCCCCCTGGGGGGTGATTTCTCGCTTCCTGTCTCTATGTCTCTCTCTGTCTGGCAAGCACACGTGCCCTATAGCAAAAGAAAAAAAAAAAACCTCTCAAAAAAAAAAAAAAGTGGCGTAAGTAAGGCACTGGACTCCCACATGGCTGACTACATTTCAAGTCTTGGACCTGAAGGCTTGCTTTCTCTCTCTGTCTCTCTGGTGAGCATATGAGCCCTGTAGTAAACTAAAAATAATAATGATTAATTTTTTTAAAAAGTAATTATGTCTTTCAGGTTTTTAAGGTCTGAGAGATTGTCATGAAGACTCTTTAAATTTCCCAGCTTTGTATCTCTTCATTCCATAGTAATCAAAAGCTAGATCCTTGATATGAGGTGAACTTTACATTTTTTATGATATTTCAAGATAATAAAATCTAAATAAACTGATTACAAATAAAAGACCCAGAAAAGCAAGCATTCAACAGTGTCATACTGTTGTCTGTTTCCTTAGTTCCTTAATGTCTGACTCCCCTTATAAAGTGCAAACACATAAAAAATAGTCTGTTTGATGTTTCTCACCGGTCTGAGTAAGACAGGGGCATAAATACTTTTTCCCCTAAAGGAAGATTATTTCAGTTGAAATATGCCATTGAGGCTATCAAGCTTGGTTCTACAGCCATTGGGATCCAGACCTCAGAGGGTGTGTGCCTAGCTGTGGAGAAGAGAATTATCTCCCCACTCATGGAACCCAGCAGCATTGAGAAAATTGTAGAGATTGATGCTCACATAGAACCATTGGTTCACCTACAATGAGACAATGACAGTGGAGAATGTGACCCAGGCTGTGTCCAACCTGGCTCTACAGTTTGGAGAAGAAGATGCAGATCCAGGTGCCATGTCTCATCCCTTTGGAGTAGCACTGTTATTTGGAGGCGTTGATGAGAAAGGACCCCAGCTGTTTCATATGGACCCATCTGGGACCTTCGTACAGTGTGATGCTTGAGCAATTGACTCTGCTTCAGAGGGTGCCCAGAGCTCTTTGCAAGAAGTTTACCATAAGTCTATGATACTGAAAGAAGCCATCAAGTCTTCGCTCATCATTCTCAAACAAGTAATGGAGGAGAAGCTGAATGCAACTAATATAGAGCTAGCCACAGTGCAGCCTGGCCAGAATTTCCACATGTTTACAAAAGAAGAACTTGAAGAGGTTATCAAGGATATTTAACAAAGTGATCTTCAGTATATCTTTTGGGACAAATTCAGTTCTCCCTAATGGCCCTTAAATTTTATTTCCAGCTCCTATTTCTTGGGAAACCTCCAGTGTATGTGCATTTTTTATGATGTCTATACATAAAGGCAGTTCTGAAATCAAGAAAATTTAAAAATATTTAATAGACAACAACAAAAAAATAGTCTGTTTATGTTGGGGCCAGCAGGTTAAGACATTGGACACTCCGACATGGCCAACTACGGTTTGAGTCCTAACCTGGTGGCTTGCTTTCTCACTTTCTCTCTCTCTCTGGTCAAATTAAGATGGATGAATGAATAAATAAAATTAAATAAATAATTTTAAAAGATAGTCTGTTTGTCTCAGTGCTGAATTTTAGGTGCCTAATAAAGTGAATGGGATATATGGATGGATGCATGCATGACACTATAAAAGGTACTTAATGTCTAATATATACTATATGAAGTAAATTTTATAACAAATCGTTCACTTAGTACATGTAGAATTGGTTAAGAGCACAGATTCTGAGGGTAGACATCCCATAACAGAACCCCAATTCTTCCATTTAATAGATTGGAAACCTTAGACAAGCCCCTTAACCTTTTTTTTTTACTGTTTCTCATCTGTAAAGTGGGAATAATACTAGTACTTACCTCAGAAGGTATGTAATTAAGATTAAATGAGATTATTCACATAAAGTTCTTAGTTTAAAATCTGGCACACATTAAGTGTGTACTGGGATAGGGTGAATGCAGATCTTTTCCATTCCCACTCCTAATCCAGGTAAATACAAATCAAGCCAGAGCCATGGTTAAGCAATATTCTTTCTTTAATTCCCCTTTGCAAATGGAAGCCCCTGAGCTGGTCCCCACCCCCACCCCTACCCCACGCCGTGGGGACCCCAGATGCAAGGCCCCCACCTCAACCTGGTG